TACTGCGAATTCATAGAAGTGCGTTTCAACTGCGTAAATCTTTTGTATATTCTACTTAAGAACTGGTCAATATTTGAAAATTATTCTTATTATTATTCAAAGATAAAATAAAGAAAAGGAGTTATAATTCATTATGGTATTATATATTAAATATCGTATCTTAACATTGGTCAATATTTGAAGATTATTCTACCAAAGATGAAACGAAAGAAAAGAGTTATAAGTCATGATACGAGTACTTATATATCTAAACTCTCGTTTTGACACCTGACAACTGCGAACTATGTAAATTTCTGAAGTGGTCTAGTTCAGTGTCTTGATACTGTAAGGCATTGATTTTAAACATTCTTTATGGAACGACCCATTTAAGAGTCGTGCAGATAAAAACTAACAGTTCAGTTCGTGGTTTTATTCAATTTTATTCAAAAAAGTCAGACATTTCATTTCGACACCAATAGCGCTAGTTTATAAATATATATAGCTGTATAGTTATGGTTATAGGTATATAAAATCAGTACTATATTTTAGTTTATCTCTGAACATATAAGCCAAAAGTGCTTCTTAATTCTCTTAAATGAATAAAGAGCAACTTTTCTCTTTACCATATTAATAATACATGCTTTAGATTAAAACTTAAAATATCGGTATATAATCGTAATATAATCCAATAGTTACTTTTATGTATCTGAACAATATCGAACACATAAAAGACGAATATTTACTAATTAAGTAAAAATCTTAAATTAACATAAAAATCAATTTAATCGAAACATATAAAAATCTAGAATATATAGCTGAATTTAATAGACACACCTAATAGACCGTATAATCAGAGAAAATTAAATCGATCTTCATTATAAGGAAACTTAATCATCAACCGCCAACCGTCAATAATATTAATAGAAAATTGTAAATACCTTCAAATACTTGGGCCTTGATATTCATTAAAAAACTAGTTTGATTCCATAAATTAATCCTCGCAAGAATTATGAGAGTAGTTTAGTTTATCAGGTCGACGGATTTAAATAGAGATCTCCATAATGAGTTTAGTTGTATGTATACGTGATAGGCAAATTCATCGTCATCGACTCACACCCAAACACTACTTGAAGGCAACCCCTTATCGTTCCTAATATATTATATATAAGAGCACTCACAATACTATTTTTCATTTGCTATTGTCAGTGAAACCCTCAGATACAAAATTTACATATATGATTACTAAATATAAATATTAAATATATATATATATAAGTATATATACATAAATATAAAAAATATATAGTAGTACTTAGTAGTAGTATTTTCACTTTATTTTACTTCATTTTAAATATGTTGTATTACTTATAACAATTATATTATATATATAAAGCTTACAACTATGGCATTTTCGCCGTCTACCGAAGAATATATATATAAATATTAAAAATAAAATTATATATAAATATATTAAATGCTAGTCAAAATACATCATAACAAATGTAGTGTTGTAAAGACAAACAATGGCAAAAATCTGTATTTGATTTGTAAATACAGTGTTGTAAAGCCAAAAAATAATAAAAAATTGTCTATATTTTATTTTTTATTTACAGGCCACAAATCCTTACTTGACTGGTATACCAGCCAACACATACAGTCCATATTTTGCGCCCGGACACTTAGTGCCTGCATTATTAGGACCAGATCCCTCAGCAGTCGCTTCACAGTTGGGTCCAGTTGTACCACAAGCTGTACAAGTGGCACAACAAAAAATTCCCAGATCCGACAGATTAGAGGTAAGCGAAAAAGTGCATTGATTTTATTTTTATTTTCTATATTATAAAAAAAAAATTATTTATAAATTATTTAACAGAAATGTGCATGATTTTTATAGTTTTTTTTTACTCAAATACTCTTATAAAAAAATATAAATAATTTCGTTTAAAGAATTTTTGTTGTTTTCTAACACTTCAAAATATAAAAGAATGTAAAAGCTTCTATTGAAAAACAAAAATTTTAATTATTTTAATATAATTTTTATTTAAAATTATTTCATTTGTAGTCTTTGATAAAAACTTTTATTGAGAAAAATAAATTAAAAACTTTATTTATTGTTGTAATAACAACTTTAATTATATATAAGTTTCGTATTAAAATAAATAACTTTAATAAATTTGCGAAATGTATGTTTGATAATTAAAAACTAAAATGAAATTTTAAAGCAATTTTTTTAATTAATATGAAAAAGTATAAATAATTGAACACACATTCGTTTTATTTTTTGTGACTTTTTTTAACAAAATTGTTTTGTGAAAAATAATAATAATTGCTGTTATGTATGATATATATTTTTAATTCGTTATATTAATTTTAACAAAAATGAAGTAAATTGTAAATTTGTTTGCTGAAAAATAGTTTCTAAAATATTTTATTTTTTTTTTTAGTTTTTATTTATATTCTAAAAGTTTCTGTGGTTTTTAGTCAGCGAGCATTACTTTTAAAAAAATATACTAGAATTTTCATTTAATCTAATCAATTCAGGTACAAGTTAATATAATTAGTGTATTTCAAATTTAATTTTACTCTAACAAGGGATTTTCTTTATAAGTAAATATCCTTGGATTACTTTAATAAGATCTAAAAAATGAGTGAAGAAAGCTGCTCTTAGTGTAAATTTTTTATTTTTCTTAACCAGCACTTTGCATATCGTTATGCTGCCATTTTGCATAGCTTTTGCCTTATTCCCAGCGATCCCCTATGCAGCAGCTCTTATATAATTTGATATATAAATTTCTCTAATTTCTCTATGTTTGTTCTATGCGAGCCGCCTTCCTTTGTTTTTCATGTAAATAAACAAAAATCTATTGTTTAACACTAAAAGGAATTCAATGAAACACCATAAAAGAAAATAAATTAAGTGAAAACCACACAATTTTATGTTTATTGTCTTGTTGTGTTATTTTTTGTTTTTTGGTTTTTTTTGTTTTGTTTATAATTCTCATTTGGTTTAAAAACTTGACAGTTTTGATAAACGTTATGCGTTCAATATTAGTTTTAAGTATTCAATATGTGTTTAATAATAGAAAATAAGACAATGAATTGTGAATTGAGTTTACTAAAGTTTAGAAAACTAATTCCATATTTATATTAGAATAGGTTTTCACGACTATCTTAGAAATCCACTTAAACCTGTTGTCAATATATATTGCGGTATAAATTACGAATGATTGGAAAACAGTTCGAACCCTTAATCATATGCTCAATGCTTTTGAAAGTGGAATATTGCAATTGGTAAAGATCTTCAAGAAAGTAAATTCCTGTTATATGTGTTCTGCCTCATGCATATATAGGACAATGACAAAACAGATGTAAAGTAACTGTTATATCTTTCTCACATCTGTACTACTCATATGTAAATATATGTGTATTGAGGTGTATTGATATGGAGTCTTTCATTAATAATTACTCTTTAATGAATTTCAACCTCTATGAAGATAGTAGTAACTTATCAAATCTAATGTATAGAAAAATATGAGTACACCATATCCCAACATTATTTGGAAAAATGATCATAATTGAAAACAACACCATTCACCAAAAAAGTTTCACAAATCAAATGAAATAATAGATGTTTGCCAAACTATGTGAAAGATAATTTTTAAGAAAATTGAGAATCATTATCGGCTAGACCTTTTTGAACAACCTGTTCTTCAAATGTAATGATCTTGTCATCATTTATGTCACTTGGAGAATACAGAGTATTTATATTTGCTTGTTTTTTATAATGAACATAAATATAGAAAAGAAACCCGTAAAGAAATAATATTTTATGGAGTTCATGGAGTATTTTTATATTACTCTAGAAAACTTTAAAATTTTATATACTTATTTATATAAACTTTAGAATATTAATATTCCACTACTGATGATTACCAAAGTTAGTAACTCCACCTCTATTTCTACTTGTCTCTTTTTTGTTGTAGGAAATGAATACATATTGAATGCTATTAATTTAATTCTAATATTTTATTGCTTTAGTTATAATTTAATGTCCTTTTAATATTCAAAAAAAATTTTTTTTTTATTTTATTAATAAATTATTTTAAAGAAACATTTTTGCTGTGCTTTGTTTGTGTTCCCGTTTTGTTTGCATTTGCGTTCAAGAATCGGAGACCTTTTGTGTAATCTAAATTGATGCGCTGTACTATATATTTAAGTCTTGCAAAAACAATTTTACATAAAACACAGGCAAGTAAATGTTGTTTTCTACTCATCCGACTGACAAAACTAATAACCGCAAAATTTGTTTCAAAATTTATAATACTTAACGAAATCAGATACTGTTGGCATGTGACTTTGCTAATTCGGCTCAAGCTAAACTACACTAAATTGTATACTTACCCGACTAGCAATAATACAAAATTCAAATAAAACAATTTCAAAAAAAAAATTAAAATTATTAAACAAATTATTTAAATATCCATTTTTACTCAATTTCCTTCCATTGTTTCCTTCTACTGCGTACACCGACAACATTATTTAAAATATTAATCAATAAAAACATAAACCAAACAATATTACAACAACAAATATTAATACTACAACAACAATCAACAACTTACACATACAAACATGCCATACAACGTCACGCCACGCCACGCCCATAAAAAAAATTTTATAGGTTTGTCGCGAATTTATGCGCGGCGCCTGCAAGCGAGCCGAATCGGAATGTCGTTTTGCGCACCCGCAGGAGAGTGTTGCCAGACACGATGATGGTTCCATCACGGTGTGCATGGATGCCGTGAAGGGAAGATGCGCACGTGATCCTTGTCGCTATTTTCATCCTCCCCTGCACCTACAGGCACAATTAAAAGCGGCGCAATCACGCGCTACTGCTGTTGCTGCAGCTGCTGCGGTATGGCTATAATTTCAAAAAAAATTTATTTTTTTTATCAAATTTTTTGTTATTTCTAATACCGTTTTATTTTTTTTTTTTATTTTAACCTTTTTGTTTATAACAATTCAAATAGTTCTTAAGTCTAAGAGAAGCGGAACACTTTGAACATCTTGATTTTCAATTTCGCTTATAACACCTTCCGTCTTTACTTTTATATTATTTTACTTAAGTATACTGACACTAAGTTAAAATATGCGCTTTAAACTTAAACAAAATTAGGACATAATAATAATAAAAATTTGATTTGTCCTCAAAAAAACAATTTTGAAATTTAGCGTATTTCGTGTTAGGTCATCCCTGGTTTTTATGTAATTTCTAAACCCTATAAGTATGCAACAAACTTGATATTTTTGATATACATTGCTTGACTGTAAATAACATATAAGCAATATTAATAAACTTGAACGGGAGGAGGAAAAAACTTTTTTTTAGAAAAAAAATTTTGAGAGAAGCTACTAGCATAGCTTCTAGTTCTCGTAATTACATTACTCATATTTAAAATTACGCTTCTACTCGTCTTAGTCACTTCTATAGAATTGTTGAAAAATTCTGTTATTTTACTATTAAAATAGTTGGTAAAGATATCAATATTAATACCAGTCAATATAAGAAGTTCTATTAAAAATCATGAACAAAATGTAGTGCTAACAATTGAGCTCTATTGATCTAACAGTTTTTAGAATATCAGTGTCTTCATCCGTCTGAAATAATCTTCCACCCATTTAATCCCTAAAACGCTTCTATATAATTACTAATATTCATCAGACGATCTTATTATTATGTATTTATATATACTGTGATTTTATCTTCTATATATAAATTTGTAGTACAAGAAACCTTCAACATTTCTAGTTGGTTAAATTGATATCAATTTTACTTCAACCATTCAACCATACCTTCAAAAATCAAAAAGATTGATATTATTGTTCGTTGTTTTTGTACATTCCTCGTAAAACCTTAAGCCTTAGGACTTCAAGTGCTATACATATTCTTAATTAATCCGGTGATTGATCCGGTTAATTAACCTAATTATACTTATTTCTATATTTAACTATTTCCGTTTGAGTAATTAAATAAATTATAACTAAATGCAAACTAATTTAAGTGTTAATAAAACTATCTATGTCTCAAAGCAAAGTTATTATGTCAATATAGTATACGAATTAATTTATTTCGATGATAAAAACGAAGTAACGAAGTAATAGCTTTTTTTCTAAATTACACTAAATTTCATAATTGTTTAAGCGTCCAACCAGCAAACTAATTCAGCTTTTCGCAACTCAAATTATTTTTATACTAAACATTAACTATTATAGTTAAAAACTTATATAGAGTTAGTTTCCGCATAAACAAAGTCAAGTTACGCGCCAAAACGCTTAAAATTATGCTATAAATTTTATGATATTTTATATAGAGAACCTTCACTAAATTGGTCTGCAATAATGGACTTAATTATGACTGTAATATTTAGTTTTAGTCAAACATAGATGCATATATAAATAGATTAGTGATATTTTAGTTTTATCGTATATTCCAACACAAACATACATACCAACACAAGCATTTACATACATACGTACAAGTAAAAGCACTGCAGCGCTCGATGTTCGAAACGCTTAGGGAATCATTTTAAATAAGTTTTATGTTAATAATACATAAATTCATATTTAGCATAATAATAAAAATTTACTATAGCGCATTCACATATGCTAATGCATATGTTAAAATTTACATCCGCATAGTAAGTAAGATACAACCGGAAACGGATATACACATAAACGTGTGTGTGTGTGCACACGTTTGGCGTGTAATAAATGTTGATTTCCAGTCAAAATTAACATTTATTACGACACGTTCTGTACGGTGTAACAAAAACAAAAAATATACGTGTGCGTTTACATTTACGTTTATATGTCTGCGTATACATATGACGCATTTAATGCCGGCTTAATTGCTTTGGTTGAAAATTTATAGGTCTCACGTAATTGTCTAGTAATTTGGTATAAAGTGAAAAATTGTTGCAGCTTTTGAGGCGGTTGGCTGTGAGCGTTCTGACAACAGAAAGCCACCTGCAGAGTATGCTACATTGATAGCAGTTGATGGCAGCATAGAAAGTTGAAATAGTCAAAAATCAGTGTTGGTTGTTTGCCGAAATTAGTTTTTATTTATCTTAGTCATGATTTGCTGAAGTTGGTATAGTTTGACATTTTGTGGAACTTGGAATGGTACTGAAGAACTGTAGCTGATTGGTTAACATTTGCAGGAGGCCAATCCATTAACTAGAACTATTTTTTTTATCATGTTGTTGCTGCTTTATATTTTGCCGTGTGCGTAGCCATGCTGTTCCAGGTACCTTAACAAGCAAATAGCGATTATTGGAATTCTCGCCCAAATAGCGTCCAGTCACAATGTCCATGTCAGGTTCCTTGCCTTCTGGTAAGACCTAATTAAATGAAAAATCTACTTATATACTCTTACAATATTTTGTGTTGTTGTGTTTTCTTACCTTCATCAGTTCTTCTCTGACCCTCTCTATTATCTGCTTGGTAGTTCTAGGTTCAGGCAAAGTTTTTAGAGCTTCCTCCAAGAACTCTGTCATGTCCACTTCCATGACTATTTTTTACCTAACTGTTTTTTTTTTTTGTTTAAATGGAACCAAAATTTTGAAATATTTTTTTGTTTGTTTTGTAAATCTATTTTAAAAATTTTACTTTTAAATTTTTTAAAATAATTATAGAATTTTTCAAACCTACTTATTTTTATTCTATTTAATTTTATATTATGTCAATTTATAAGCTACTACAATCTTTAATACATTTTTTTCTTGTACCTTATAATGACCTTTATAAACGTTTTATTCAACTTTTGAAAAGTTATTTATTATCAGGATAGCATAAGTTTCTAAAATAGGTGAATATTCGAGCTATTTATTCAGTTCAAAATCTCGAAGCTCCTCACCAGCAAATTCAGCCAGTATTTCCCAAGCCGCATTGGTTTAGTTCTTAGTTCTGTTCAGTAACTTTTAAATTTCTTAGGGTGCGATTCAAAATTGATTTGGTTTGATTTGTTATGGTTTTGATTGTATCATTAATAATAATTATGTCAATTCACACTCTTTTTTTAATTTATTCAAGAACCCAATTATTCATATGCCTCTTCTTTATAAGCCATAGGATATTCGATAAAAACACTGTATTAATGTAGGTGAGAGAATGTTGTTGTAAATAAAAAATTTATAATACATTTAATAACAATAAATATCTCTTATAAAATTCAACTCTTTATTGAAGAATTTTACTTTTCTGTGTTCTTCGTTTACCAACATTAAATATATCGTAGGGACCTATAAATTTGAACCAAAGCCTGTCACGTTACTAGAGTTTGTGCCAACTGTGTTGGCAACGGATTAAACAAACTCAATATACTTAAGTTTTGTGTCTTATATGTGTCTCATATTAACACATTAGGTGAAGATGCTAAAAGTCGTGTTCCATTCTCACCGTTTCTGCGAAAAAAAAAATAATAATAATCAGCCGCATTGGCAAAAAGTATTAAAATGACACTAGTTTTAGTTTTTAAATTAATATTATAATTTATTTTATTAATATTTGAATTGCATTATAACAACACAAAGACAAATACAGGTATATATACAAATTTATATTCCCTTTATATTAATTATATATTTAGTGAATACTATAGTTATGTAGCTATAATTTTATAGCAAATGCTTAGCACTTAGCACATATCTCGCTTCAGCGTTTATTTTTAATTTAAGCTTTAATATTATTTTTGCAAAATAATAAATTAATTCAGTAAAAAAATAATAGTTAAAGTCACTTAGTTATTGCTATTAGAACTTTTGTTTGGTTTTTTTATTGATAAACCTACTTATAAGCGATAGTGCTTAGTGTATTTTAATAAAAATCAATAGTCAATATTTTAATAATGCAACAAAATCCCATAATTATTCTTACTGTTCCCCAAGAAAACCATTGACTAAATATGATATAAATAATCAGTAATCAAAATTTTTTAATTATAATAAATTATTTATTTTTATAAAAATTCAATTTTTTGTTTTTATGTAATACTTTGTCATTTTAAAAAGGCTTGAATTCCCCGATGCAGCGCTGCCTATTTAAAATTTTATTATATTATTTTTCTCCTCTTTTAATAAATTTTAAAATTTTAGTCCATGTACTTCAACCCTGAAAATTTGCTTTGCATTAATGTGTGTAATATCCCGCTTTTTAGTTAAAAAATTTTGTTAAGAATTAAACACAAAACAAAAAGTATTAGTATGTTCTATGCCTTGAATATTGCCAAGAAAACACTGTCCATTCAAATAGTTAGGTAGAAAAATAGGTAGTATTACTACATTTTATTTTATTTTATAAAATTACCTTTAGGAATATCACTTGTAGCGTTATATTCGAGTCATAGATTAGGAATTGATACATAAATTATTGCATGTCAATACACAACAGTATTTATACACCAAAGTGCGTTCTTTTATAAAATTTGTTGTTAAATTTTAATAGTTTATTTACATTTTTCCAATATATATTAAACGTTTGCGAAGGTAAGCTTAAAATTTTAATATAAAGTACAAAAGATCCTTCTAAACTAATGGTTATATTATAGCGATTATGCTAGGGATAAGTATAGATCTATAAATATACAACAAAACCAAAACCCACTGGTATGTTTAAAAGCAACTGAGATGCAATTTAAGTAGAGATCTTGCATCTACTAAGAATGTTCCTCTGACAAATAATTGTCTAACATGTTTAATCGACATTGTCTATACGTTGTCCTTCTCACAACAACAATGAGAATCTTTAAAGGAAAGATTCCAGTTTCTAGAATATTTTTCTTGCTAACTGATTATTGGTAAACTGTTACCTTTAGGAACATCTCAATGGTATTACAAGAGTGTTTAATAAAAAGAAATTAACTTGCTCATA